TCTCTCTCTCTCTCTATATATATATATATATATATGTCTATATTGATCAGCTATCAAACCTAGAATCTAGCTGTTAGAAAACATTACTTGCTTGATCTACATAGCATACTCTTTGCTGGTTTTGGCAGTGTCTAAATGTATATTATGTAATACTGAATTTAGCTATATTGAGCACATATTTGCAGTTTCTAGTCACAGAGCAGTGTAATACGAAAAGTGACAGACATTTGATTTTCAGCTGCTGGTCTTAGTGCAAACCCAGTTTGGCTGAGTTTGTCCAAGCCCACCCTCTTCCCCCGACCCAGTCAGTTTTGGAAAGGCGCATTGCCCGCCCTGCAGCAATATGTCACAAAGGGGTGAGGGATGCTGCATCTGCATCCATTGATTGGGCCAAGGTGGGATCACAGATATGAAAGTGCTCCAGAAGACTGGGTTTGCACTAAGCCCAGGCTCATCTCTATTTGTCACTTGGCTGTTTCAGTGAATTAAAATAAAAACAACTCTGCTGTGCGATTCCGATGAGTTTTCCGTGAAAGCTTCTTTAAAAGCTCCTCTAATGTGGCCTAACTTGAGGGTAGGCATCAGCCAGAGCTGGGATCACTGATGGCCTCATCTTTATGGCAGGTTTAAATGTCTCGTTAACCAGCCAAGAGTCTTGACATGCTACAACACCGCTCCTTAATGGCCTCACAGCAGGGAAGAAAAGTGGGTGCCCACTGGCTAAGCTTGTCCACGCTTAAATGTACACACCTCCAAAATATAAAAAATTCAGCCACACTCCACTTGTCACGCTGAAAAGCTCTTTTATTCAGATTTGCACAATTTGGCACAGTCCTGCCCTCGGTCCACCCTTTTGGCGCTTTTCGCCCTATTCAGGGCTTAGTTGTAGAGGAGTCTGACTAAAGGAGCTTTTCAGGGTGGCAAGCAGAGTGCGGCCAGATTTTTTCTGTTGTGGAGGTGTGCAGGCACGGATGTGGCTATAGTGCAGACCACAATTAAATTGTATGTAATCATGCCCAGAGTGAATAAAGAGCAGTATAGAACTTATCAGCTATCCTTTAGTTTTAAGTGCACATTAAGGTTCTGTTCAAGTATTGATGTATTTGTTTTATGTCAAAATATTACAGAGAGGTTACAGAGAGGCAGGATAAAATGGATAACATTTTGGCTGATGTTCAGGTACATAATGTGAGAAGGAGATGCAGTGATGCCAGAAGTTGCCAGCGGCTTCTTTGAGGTAAAAAGCTTGGCAGCTTGCCTTGGCTTTCATGCCAAATCTTAATCACAGCTTCCAGGCTTTCGTGCGATGGAACAAGAGACTCTGGACTTCATGCAACTGGCGTGGCACCTGTTGTTACGGATAGTCTACACTGTGCTGCGTGCGATGGAACAAGAGACTCTGGACTTCATGCAACTGGCGTGGCACCTGTTGTTACGGATAGTCTACACTGTGCTGCGTGCGATGGAACAAGAGACTCTGGACTTCATGCAACTGGCGTGGCACCTGTTGTTACGGATAGTCTACACTGTGCTGCGTGCGATGGAACAAGAGACTCTGGACTTCATGCAACTGGCGTGGCACCTGTTGTTACGGATAGTCTACACTGTGCTGCGTGCGATGGAACAAGAGACTCTGGACTTCATGCATGCCACGCCAGTTGCATGAAGTCCAGAGTCTCTTGTTCCATCGCACGAAAGCCTGGAAGCTGTGATTAAGATTTGGCATGAAAGCCAATCTGTGGAATAGTGTAGGTGGGCAAAAGGTCTGCCAGTACAGTACTCTGCCTGTGGGAATGCCCTCTTTGTGGTCAGAAATAATTTGTGCCCCTCTGGGGAAAAATATATGCCATGTGTGTGCCTTTTAACAGGCACTAAATGTATATTTACCACCTGATAAATGC